GAGAGAGTGAAAGAGAGGGCGAGACCGTCTGTCTTCGAGCTTCGTGTTTATTCCCTCGAATTAACTAATGCCAGTGCAAACGTTTTTGTACATCAAATCGTTTATTGTTTCATTTCCAACAAGTGTTTTTGAGCAAAATGGCTATCTTGCACCGCAATACGAACTTCAACAGGGTCAAAGCAAACCCTTCATAAGCCAGTACGTGATAACGACAGAGACGCGGACGCAGCAAATTCCATCGCAAAATCTACGATATCAATTATACCAACCTGCTTGAGTATCACGCGAGAAATGGGAGTTATAAATACGTTCTCACATTCGAATGGTATTCAAGCGTGCAAACCTTTGTCAGAAGAAATGTTTAACACACTCTGTCATGGGCTTGACGAAGTCACCGACACCGCGGTGAAAGAAGAGAGAGGTGCTTGAAAAGGCCAGAAAGGGGGCCGAAATTTCACTTGGGCTTCGGGCGTCTGCCGGCAGGGGCACTGTCGGTTTAGGGCTCCCGCGCAGGCACGATCGCGCGGCCTTTGAAACGTGTGCTCAAATGAGGACAGTTAATCGCGGCCATAGCCATGTTGCACATCTCATGGCACTTGCTTGAACCTCGAGCTAATCTTCGACATAACTTGTGCGTTCCGTGGCAAGGCCGTGCCGTTCAGACACCTCTATCTCTTGCACTGTACTCGACACTGCTGGAGAGATTTCAAGAGGTCTTCTGAGCGTGGTCCAGATACTTCTCTCGTGTCGCGAGAGGCGTCGTATGTCTCGAGGTTTCGAGACACACACACACACACACCCACACACACACACACACCCACCCACCCACCCACGCACGCACGCACGCACGCACGCACGCACGCACGCACGCACGCACACACACACACACACACACACACACACACACACACACACACACACACACACACACACACACACACACACACACACACACACACACAGAGAGAGAGAGGGGGGGGCAGGCACAGACGCTGCGTAGGCTACCTGGAATTAGAGTGCCTAAATTGAAAAGAAGGTACATCTCAAACTATGAGCAGCGTTCGCAATTTAATGGCGGTCGCCTCCTGCGTAAACTGCTTCACAGTGCGCACACGCTGCGTTTTCGCGTGGCGCAGATGAAAGAAGGGGGAAAGGCGGAGGCGTTCGCAGGCGGTCAACATTTATGGCACCTCGCAGCTCGTGTTGCAAACGCGGCCCATAAACCACGTGACCCCGATCGAACAGTCGTACACTACCTGTAAATACAGGCTCCCTATGATCTTCAATACTTTGTTCTTGCGCCCCCTATCGGCCCGAGCAAGAAACAGTGGGTGGGCCACGAAATCGCGAGTGCATTTTCCAGTCATTGGAATCTACTGGTGGAAGTAGGAGAATACCGAGGCCCATTTCGTCCAATGAAAGCTTTTGCACGATAATATGCGGCGTGATACGACGTTTCACATCCTCTCTCCAAATGGCTTGCTAGGGAGTAACATCTTATTCCACGATAATCTGAGGGCCTGGGCGACGACAGTTTTTGCGTAGTTGGAACGGCTGGACGCTCCTTTCAATAGACTACTTCCATAAAGCCCTGCATGCAACACGGCGCGCGTTGCACTCTGGGAACTAGTTGGCCAGGGAGGAGAGTGCCCCATGGTTTCGGTTCGATCGACACGTCGACAAGCGATTATACACAGGGCGTGGACTATAAACGGCCGTTATTTTATGTTTTCTGGTTCCGAGACCGTCATTTGTGGTCTCCAAACTAACTTAAATGGCCAGCTCTCGAGTCTTTAGCACAAGCCCGAGACGTATAGCTTGTCTTAACGCATGCTTGTTGTATTTTTGTACTCGAGCCTTTCTGTTAGCGTTTCGAGGTATGTGGACTAGCCAGTGCTGGGAATCTCTACGCCGCGAAGTTCGGGGATCTTGCTTGTGTACGAATCAACAAGCTGTAGACACCAGTAAGTATGCATACATCGAGATCGCGCCTTGACATTAGTGTTGTTGATCAGGAAGTTTGTTTGTTTCGTGCGTCCATAGACGAAATATAACTTTTTGCAATTACTGTTTTTCTTAATACGCCTGAGTACGCGAGGTAAAACTCGGAGGCGCCATTGAAGAGCTCCATTTGAACACACTTCTCATCGCTTATCTGTACTGCCCCGCAGCACTGCACGAATTCGTGAAACGCTTGTATTTGCACGAAACGCTTGCATTTCACTAGTATTCGACATCGCGTAAACGCATAAAGTTATCCTGCAATCATATATGCACATTCGCATATACAAACCGTTTTAAGAAAGCAAAAGTCGAGCACTTGTGTGAAGAATGTCGCACCATTCGGTGGAAGTGCGCCGGCGGGCATGAACCCCGATGCGCCAAACGAACGAAATTATTCAAAGCGCATTTGACGTTGCTAATGGCCATAATATTTGTTATGCGTTTGCTTTCTTCCTCACTGAGTATGCCGAGATAATTTCAGACAGACCGTTCAGGCACAGATCTTGGGCGTTAGTAAAAGGTCGTCCAAAAAGGCTTAGCGAGGAGTAGGGGACGCTCGTTAGGACCTCCGTCGTAGCTAGCCGATCTCAGCGTTTGCAAAAACTTAATCTTATATTAGCATAAAATTTGAGTGTGAGGTATGTGATGACACGAGGAAGACATCATATATAGTAACTTTTGTGCAGTAGTGAGGTCGAATTTATTGCGTTTCCTGAAATGCTCATGCGTCAACGCTGGGCTCAACGTTGATACTCCTGTGAGAATGCGGCTTGCTCTCGCCCAATGAAGTAACAAGAAGCGGACGTTTGGCAAACAAAATATGTGCAAGGCTCAAGGTGACCAATTTTCAGTTGTTGTTCACTGGTACTAGACGGGATTACTGACACGAGCTCAAAGATGCACTCGTGGGGTGAGGTGGCTAAGTCACGTCTTACTAAGTTTGCATACGCAGGCACAATATTCGGTGTTGCGGGAACCAAGGAAAGTGCCCCGGACTTCGTTTTGTATCGCTCGAAAATGAGTGTATTGTACATTCGTAGAAAGTCAGATAATCGAAAACGCAAGCAGCGCGTTCGGTCAGGACGTGATAGCATGAGATGAAGCTGCTCAGTCGAAACCGAAACTGAGTGGCCAACTAGTTCCCAGAGTGCACTGCGTGGTATTTCGCCGCGATGGGGCGCGTCGGTTTTGGAACAAGTCCATTGGGAGTAAGGTAAAAGGAACCGGCCAAGCCTCCTTTCCCTCGCGAAGTCCTGACCCTTTCCTCCTCTCCACGACTCCCCCGAATTTCTGTTTCGACTCTAGCGCCGCCTAGGGCACCCTCTCTGTGGGACGGCTCGCCTGGTTGTCGCTGGAAATGCTGTAAGAACGCGTGTTTTTTTATTCTTTTTAGCTTGCGCGCTTGCTTTCTCCACGATTTGACTGTGCGATCTGGACGCTATATTTACCTCTGAGTATATCTTTTTATTGCCTCACGTTTAGCGCGAGCACGTCATTTTTTTTTTTTTTTTTTTTTTTTTTTGTGCTTCAGTTGCATTTTAGATTACTTAGTTTTGCGTATTCTCGGTTGGTTTAGTTGTTCGGGATCGTATGCTATGTTTCGCAGTAGGAACATTTATTAAACAAATTTGAACTTCTTAACACATACCCATAACATCGTTCCTCCGTGGTCCGACATTTGAGCGATAGGGTTGAAGGTGTTAGCGCTCATTCACACTGGAAGCGGATCCGCATTCGCAAAGCGGTTGCGAACGCGGTTGTATAAAGATCCAGTACAATTGCACGCGCACTTGATGTCATCGAGTGCGCGTGCAATTCTACTGGATCTTTTTAGAACCGCGTTCGCAGCCGCTTTACGAACGCGGATCCGCTTCCAGTGTGAATGAGCGGTTAAAGAGGCAACTAGTGCGCGCTCCTCTAGTTGGAATACGAGCCGCCTTCCGACTAGCGCGAGGTTTCAAAGCCGCGTTCTCGCGCTGTAAACAGAGAATGGGCCTGTTGCTGATTGTTTATACGTGTAACGTTAGAGGCGAGCGAAGTGAATAATAAAAATCGTGATTGTGGGTATATTTAGACAGCGTGTAGTCGGTCAGCCATTTCAAAGGTGCGACGAGCCTCCTGGCTGTAGATGAGCAATTTAGCCAGTGGAGTACAGCCGCTAGCCTGAGGTCTCTTAGGTGCATCACGCAGTAGTGGTACACGACCGCACGCCGGTACGATGCTCCTCCAGATCGAAACTGGTAGGGGTAAGGATTGAACTCAGAGCGGAGTGAAAGCTTGCCACGCTCCGTACCTCCCTGGCTCACGTGCAAGCTGGTGCAGTGCGGGCACCGTTTTTTTAGGATGTCTGCCCGCGCTCGTAGCTTTTGCCTCGCGCTTAGGAACGTCGAAACGAAGTATAGTTTTCCAGAAACAGCCTCGGAGGCAGTTATCAGAGCGCTGAAACGTCTGCAGCAACCACCATTGCGCACCTTAACCCCACTTATTATTTTTATTCCAACATTCAGCGAATGTACGCGCCACAGGAACTGTTATTTCCGTAAATCGTGCGCTCTCGTACAAAGAACGGAAGAAAATGAAATTATTGGTGCGTGGTTCCGAAGAAGGAGCTTCGCGGACCAAAAAACCCCGAATTCTTTTCCCGGATTTTTCCGATTTCGATGAATGCGATTCGGGGGATAATTTTCGCGGTTCGTCGGTATTTGTCGGAAACAGGAAAACCCTGTCTGTGATAAAACGAAGTTCAGGCCGAAATTTATCCGGCTAGTGAAGTGGCGTAGAACCCACTGGATCGTGATTGGATTACTTTCATCCGCTGATCGCCGTGGCTAGCCGCCCGCGTGTCGTGCGGTAATATATTAATAATAAATTTATTGAACACAAAAAACACATCTACACACAGTCTGCGAAGTGCACGTTTTCGATAGCCTTTGAGACTTTTTTTTCTTTTCTACAAGTGTTGAGTAACCGTTGGCTCGTTCCCTTGTTCGTTGCAG